CCCCCCCCCCGACTCCTGGAAGGCCGAGTGCCGGCAGGTGGGAAAGGACCCAGCACGCGGCTGATGATCTGATGCTCGCCCTTCCCTCTGCTCCGACACCGGACCGTTAGGAAAAGGTCCACGGATGAGCTGCACTCACTTGGAAACTCGCCGTCTACTTGGTCTGTGGAGCTGCTCAGCCAGACAAGCTCAGCTGGAGCCGAGACCCCGAAACCAGGCGGGAACAGCCTTCTCCAGGGCCGAGCGAGCTTTACAGAACTGGAGGCCAGCCCCCGCTTCACAGCTGCGCTCTGGGACGGCAAGTGATTGGGCCGTGGTCCCACAGCCAGGAAGTGGCGGCAGGGACTCGAACCCAGGGCTGTCCGACTTGTGGTCCGTGCAGCCCGTGGGAGGACAGCGCCTGCGTGGCACCGACGCACACGTGCTTGGCCGCGTGCTGTCCGCGGGATCTCCACCCCCGGGCGGCCGTGCGCCGAGGAGGGAAAGCTGCGATGGGTGAAGGTTAACAAACAAGCTCTTCTCAGCGGCGCCCACGCAGGAGGAGCCACGCTCCGTTCCAGCGCCAAGATCGTGGAGCCCGATGGCGAGAAGCCAGAGTTCGAGTCCAGCATCTCCCAGACTCTGCTGGGCCTGGAGTGAACGTGGACCTCAGGGCCCAGCTGCGGGACTGGACGTCACAGCGGCCAAGGAAACTGAAGTTGGTGGCGGTCGGAAGGCTATTATCATCTTCGTTCTGGTTCCTCAAGTCTTTACAGAAAATCCACGTCTGGCTGGTCCTCGAGCTGGAGAAGTTCATGGGCAGCACGTGGTCTTCCTCGGGCAGGGGAGGGTCTGCCTAAGCCGACCCAAAGAAGCCGGACAATGAACAAGCAGAAGTGCCCGGAGCCGCACGCCGACTGCCGTCCTGGAGGCCTCGTCTTCCGAGTGCGATCGTGGGCAGAGGACCCGCGAGAAGCTGGACGCAGCCGGCTCACAAGGTGCATCGGGACAACGCAGCACAGCAGCCGGGCACAAGGCTGGAACTTCCTCCCGTGTCGACAGGAAGCTCATGGGCAAGGACGTTCATTCTGAATTCCCAGAGTTCCATTTGGAAAGAAAAACGACTAAATAAAATATCGTTCTCAGTAAAAAAAAAAAGGTGAGGAGCCAACCCACACACAGAGGGGGCGGGGGGCGGGGGCGGGGTCCACAGCACTGATCCCGCAGGAGCAGGAGCAGGAGCCCCAGAGCCCAGGGCACTCACAGCCCCCAGGCCTCAGCTGGGCCCAGACCAGCGGCCAGCTCCTGACGGCCGGGCCTGGTGATAGGGTCTCGGGGTCCTCGTCTGCCCGGTGGAGGCGGAGGTGGGGCTGTCGCACAAGTGCCAGTGCTGGGAGGCCAGGAAGCAGTGTTGCTGTTGTGCTTATTCTCATGTTTTTGTTTGTGACCTTCACCCACGGCTATTTTTTCTATTGAGTTTTAGAAACCTGGGAGAGAGGGAGGCGAGTGAGAGCGAGAGAGTGAGAGAGAGAGAGAGAGAGAGAGAGAGAGAGCGAGCGAGAGAGAGCGAGAGATTGGTTGCCTCCCAAATGTGCCCTGATCCTCGAGCCTGCAACCCAGGTATGTGCCCTTGACCAGGAATCAAACCCACGACCCCGAGTTGCGGGCCGACACTATAACCACTGAGCCAACCCCCGGGGCTATCAATCGTTTTCTACTCCTCCCGTTCCAGTTGGAAAATCCTCTCTCCACTATCAGCTGGAGGTTAGTGGGAGACCCCGCCAAGCAAGCAGTCTGCACGTAGTTAGACGGCGCCTGTGATTTTAAATCTCTCTGTTCAAGGGGCAGAGTCAACGCCCCCTTCCCAGACCCCCCATCACCTCTCTGCTGCTTCGGACTCTCAGGATGGTCCACACCTGGGCACTGCCTGGTGCTGCATCCACAGTCCCACCACCTGCTCCACACAGGACAGGTTGGCACACCTTCACGACCTGGTGGCGAGGCAGGTAAAGCTCCAAGATGTGGGGTCCAGAGCCCTAGCCCATACTCGGAGGATGGAGAGCCCCAGCCAGGCACTGCGGGCATCTGCTGTGTGCCAGTCACGGCGTCACTGCTCAGGGCAAAGGTCTGACAGGCAGACAGTCCCTCCTTGCAGGAGCCCCGAGTCCGAAGCGGAAGATGGACAATCAGTGGCCACATCTGGGGAGCACCGTCCGGTGGGAGAGGCTGTCTGGGTGCTCAGCCGAGCATGACCGACTCCACGCTGCACTCGGAGGAGCTCCCCAGGAAAAGCCAGAGCCCGCTGGGCCCTAAAGCCTGTGCGAGATCTGTCAGGGTGTGTGTGTGTGTGGGGGGGGGAGGCACCGGAAGTGGGGCTCCGGGGAAGAGGCGTGAGCAGCTCACATCCTGAGATCTGCAGCTCCCACTGCAGTTAGTCACACACACGTTCCATTTAAAATCACCGCCTGGAAACCCCAGGCCTTGCTGGGCACAACCTGCTTCAGGCTGGGCCTCCCCAGCCCCCCAGCTGCCCCCCAGCTGCAGGGCCTCACAGGTAATGCTGTTAGGCTCCCTGTAGGTCCGGCCCATCGTTCCTGCCAAGACCTTATGGACCTTGATTCTATTATCCTACAGATTCGCCTTCCGTCCCGGGTCTGTGTCCTTCGCAAATTTGATAAGCCTGCTTTCTATGTCTTCATCCAAGTTGCTGATAAAAACCTTGCACAGGAGGTCAGAGCCCTGAGGCCTGAGGCCTGGCCCAGGCAGCACCCCGCCCCCCGCTGCGCCCCAGAGCACAGCCATGCCTGCTCTCTGGATGCTCTGCTGTTCACATCCAACTACTTCAGCAGCCGGAGGCCTCCCTGAGTCTCTCCTTCCCCCTCCTTTCCTGCTCCCCCATCCCCCCCCCATCCCCAAGGGGCAGACTCGGTAACAACGGTAACACCTCACTCACCCAGAATCAGCAATGAACACACCCCTCCCTCAGAACCAGCCAGCACCCAAAACAGCCTCTGGACGTGCAGAACTTGGCCTAAGACAGGAGCCTATCAGACCCTCCGGCTGAGCCTCTCTCTTCTTTTACCCACAGTCATGTTTACACGGTGACCACCTTTTCTTCTGTTCACGGCAGGTTAGTAGCTGCAAGTCGGAAGCAGGAACATAACTTGGTTTAAGTAAGTAAAAGGTCTGTAGCCTTTCAAGAAGACAGATGAACTTTCAACTCCAAGAAACAAACCACAATAATTAAATTCCCATTAGAGTGCCCTGGCTGGTTTGGCTCAGTGCACAGAGCGTCGGCCTGTGGATCAATGGGTCCCGGGTTCGATCCAGTCAAGGACACGTACCTCAGCTGCAGACTCCTCCCAGGCCTGGGGCCCTGGTCAGGGTGCCTGCAGGAGGCAACCAATTGATGTGTTTCTCTCACATCGATGTTTCTCTCTGTCTTTCCCTCTCTCTTCCTCTCTCCCTAAAAATCAATGGAAAGATATCCTCAGGTGAGGATTAAAAAAAAAAAAAGAAAAAAAAGAATTCCTACTGCTGCGC